ACACACACACACACACACACACACACACACACACACACACACACACACACACACACACACACTAACCTGCACCTACAAATGTCAAGTACTTGTATCCATTACACTCTTTCACTTTGTTTTGTCTCAGTCAGCTTTAAATGGGTTTTGTGGTGATGCTTGGGGCTGTACTTTTTTAAAAATTACCCTGTTATTGAACTGTAAGTCTAGGTTGTCCATCATCATCCTTGTTACAGTTGTAACCCACCGCTGCTGTCTGCTGTGAGGCAGCATGTCCCTGGTTAAGCTCCCGTTCCGTCTTGGAGCGCTCCACTCTCTCGGGCCTGTGGTTTTTGCAGTCAGAAATCAACTGACAGCAGCAAACACTTTAGGGGATCAATCTGCTTTTGGCTCATGGAAATAAAAATTATGTTTAGACATGCATGAACTTCATCGGCACTGGATGACAAGTGCGGTGGTGCAGCCAGTGCCAAAGAGCAACTTCGGAAGCAGAGCGAGTTTAAGAAGGCTGGTCGTGGCTTAGGTAGCTGTTTTTTTTTTTGTGGATGTAGAAGAACTTTAAGAGTGTCTGGAAGTGGGCCTTGACCTATAGGATGTGAGGGCCACAGGAAGAAGGCTAGGGGGACTGGAATATCAGGAGGAGGGCTGAAGCAGAGTGAGCTTTGCCATTGTGTAGCCAGCAGATGCCCGAATGTGACTCACAGCTGGCTAATAACAGAGCCGAAGAGGCAGAGGGCAAGCGTCACAGCTGGGGAGTGAGGCCGTCTGACAGGGGGGCGGAGGGGGGGCAGGGCAGGGCCAAGCTGGGACACGAGAGGGGTAAGGCGAGGTGTAGGGGTGGCAGATGGTTAGGGGTGGGGGCACTTTTGTTATGCAGTGAAGGGGAGTTGGGGGCTTTGGGAGGGGTTGTTGAGGGGGACTGGTCGGCCAGCAGGCTCCTCGGACAAGACCGCTGACGAATGGTAGGATGTTATGGGACGGTGTGCGTGCGCAGTAAAGCTGCGTGGGGGTTGAGTTTGATTTCAAAATCAATGTGACAGATTGCCTAGCTGGCTTTTCACTTTTTCAATGGTCCCTCACTGTTTGTAGGGTGTGTTGTTGTACCTTTTCTTCCTCTTTTATTCTTTTGTCCATTCTTCCCCACCCCTCCCATGCTGCTTTTGTGTGTTCCTGGATCACGGCCCACTGTGGGGCAGAGCAGCCGGGGTCTATGGATGTGGATGGGTCAGAGAAAAATGGTGGCTCCTCCTGTTTAATTTGTTGTAGTTGGTGTTTTTTTTATTTTTTTTCCCCCACAACGCTAACTTTTTCCACTTTCCTGTTTCTTTAACCGCCCACTCAGTCGCTGCTGTGAGAAGAAAAGTTGTGGCAATCGAAATGAGACGCCGTCCGACCCAGTCATCATTGACAGGTAATAAAATCCAAGCATGTCCCACACAGTGTCCATCACCTCAAACCATCACCTATCTATACTATCTAAACTCTCACAACAGTCCCCTCTGCACCAACTGTAGAAGAAGCTTACACATGCTCTCTGTTCATTTAAGACATAATACCTAACTGTGCGTGTATGCATCACATGTCAATCTTGTTCTTCTTCTCCATGGGAAGTATGTTCATTGTTTCTCTGGGGCAATTTACACCACATCACTGCAAACAGGCGGTAACATCCAGTGAAAAGCGCCCGTGTCTGTCTCCCATGTGTCTTTCTGTCTGCGGCTTTCTGTTTATCGGCTGATCTATCTTCCAGCTTGCTGGGATCTGTTTCACTTTGGTCACTCATTTGCACCTGAGACCTGACAAAAGCACAGATTTACTTTTATCAGAAGCATGTGGATCATTCACACCACCAGACGGGCTCACATATGTACTTAATGTTCACCCCGAGGGCCAGTTATCAGGCTTAAAGGGAGATGACCACCCCTGTAATCAGCGTGTGTGAGAGTCTTCACGTCTAAAGGGCTTTTGGAGGTCCCACACTGTCTGCCTGGCATTAACCAGCGTGATTGATACTCATAAGCAGACCGTATGTGAAATACCTACTGTGTGATGTCATGGGGCAACCTTCATCACCTCTCTCTCCCTCACTCCCTCCGTTGCCCTCTCCTTCCTTCTCTCCTTCCCTGCAATTGTCTGTCTAGAAAGCACTCACTTCACATATATCAAGGACCCTTTTCTTTCCCCTCCTCAGTTCAAGCCGGCTGGCTGTTGACAGTGTGTCTCAGAGGATCTCAGATGAAGATTGTTTTCATATAACGGAAAAATCGGGTTGTTGTTGTATGAATTTTCCCAGAATACCTTGGAGCAGCTGCTTTTCCCATTTACTCTAGAACATTATTCTCACAATCGCTCCCTCCGCACCCTTTTTTATACTTCCTCCTAACATGGCTAAACTGCTTTGAAATTTGCTTTTTAAGTAGATTGGCGATTTTCTGGTGAGGAAAAACAACACAAAAACAGTCTATATTTCTTTGTGGCTTTCTGTGTGTGTGTGTGTGCAGGCTGATGTGCAGCTCTGAGGATTGATTTAAATTAAATCATTGACCTACTGTACTCTCTAATCACACTGGCCATATCCTGTCCTGATGGGGGCTTCTCCCTCTCGACTATCCTACAAAATCCCCTCCTCAGGGACCCACCTATTAGAAGCCAGTTAATTTCTGCTAAGCTGGTGGAATACTGCTTTGCCCAATCAGAGGTGTCCTTACTTTTCTCCATATGCTCAATGCATGTATGCTCAACTAGGAGGAAGTTTATAACACATATGCATCGTTTGCATGCACGCAAACGAATGTATATTTTCATGCTTGTGGGGATGTTTATTTATGTATGTATATGGATCTATGTACGATTGTCTGTGTGTCTCTTTGACCCCTACACTGACCTTTTCCCCTAGTCCTTGCTTGGGTCTTAAATTATTCATGTGTGTGTGTGTGTGTCTGAAGCCTATGCGCATTTGTGTATGTGTGTGCACTTCTGTGTGTGTGTGTGTGGAGGAGACAGTCAGTTTCTGTGGCTCCAGTAATCAGCCTCCTGCTCCCAGCCCTAACACCTGTTCTCCAATTAACATGCAGCGTGCTGGGGCCCACTCCCTTCCACCACCACTGCTTTCTACCCTTTTCCTTCCTTCTTTTCTCCTTCTCCTCGCACCCTCAGTGCATTGCTCCCTTTCCACCTGCCCCAGTTTGTATCTGTGCTTCTGCACACCCCTCTCGCCCTTTTGCTCTCACATGCTTACTATTTTAACTCCCTATTGCTTAATTCCCGTGCTCCTCTTTCTTTTCTCCGTCACATTACCATCTCCTTCACCAACACCCCCCTCCACCCTCCCTTTAGCCTGTCTAATTTTGCCATAATTAGGCAGTGTCATTAGGACACCTACCCAAGCACAAGGGAGTTTGCAATTCCCCAAACGGCCCAAACCCCCTCTTTTCTAATCTCCTTTCCATATTGTTTCAGTTTTCTCTCCCCCTTCTCCTGCTGCTGCTGCTACTGCTGCAGCTCCCTCCACCTTCCCTTCTTTCTAATCCTGATCTGAGTGAAAGGGGAGAGAGAGGAGATCACAGCTGATCCACTGGGAGGGGTGAAAGGACAGAGGGTGGAGGGATGAAGAGGGCAAGGGCAGGAGTTGACAAAGAGATGACTCGAGTTGCTTTTGGGGGCGAATTATCTAACGCCCCAGTGCCTGCTGTGTCTGCTAGTTTTGCAGCTGCATAGGTGAACTGTTATACTCGCAGTCCTAATGTGACATCTCTGTTTGCAGGATGTCACTTATCCTTGACTGATGGCCTGACTTGTTTTCTGATTGGTTAGATGAGTGGATTGTTCAATAGGAAGTTGGATCAATGCCTCTGGGCTCATTACTATAAATGTAATTCTTCAAGCTCATGCAATCAATGTATTTATTATATTACATTTCTTTTCTTTTCTTGTTTTAATAAACATGCGTAAATGAATCTTTTTTCAGAAACTGGTGGTTGATTATTTTGACAGGTCATTTTTAAGGTCATTTATTAAGCAAAACAGAAAATTATTGAGTGCTTTCAGGTCAAAATTCAAATACTGGTATTTCTTTTATTTTTATTTCTTTATTTTTGGATGATTGCTTTCACTGTTTGAAATTTAGCTCATTCTCAATCTCAACCCAGGCAGATCTGTTAATGGTGGTATTATTGCAAAACTGATCTCTGACCTCAGAGAAACTATATTGGTTCTGGGCCTCAGTCTTTATGAGTGAGCTGTGGGGTTTACAATGGAGACAAGCAGATGTCAGTATTAGTATTAGGCTGTGTGGGTTGAATGGGGATTTGTTGGGGGGGGCAGCTCTGGGTGTGTGCTTTTATATTTGGCTAAGAAGCTGAGATCAATAGTTGGTCATATAGAGTGTGTAGAGGGATCCATTGTAAGGCAGGAGTCTTGTGAGGGGCACTGGGGTGATCAATGGTAAGCACTATCTCACTAATTGATCGTGTTTCCAAGAGGGCCCTTTTTTAACAAGCCGGTGCTCAGAGAAAAGACGAATAATCAATAGGAATTTTCCAATGTTGTCAATATGCCTGTTCCCTCCCCCACACTGAAAATGAGCTCACAAGGACTGTTACATACTTGTGCACACTTTCATCAGCAGCAGCTTAAACCCAGATTTTTTGTTTTTCAGAAGGATGCATTTAGAGTTTATTTTATTCTTTTATTTATTAAAACTATAGTATATGAGTCTCGAGAAATGACTTTATTTGAGCTTAGCTCCGAGAACGATCCATTATTCTTAATCTTAGGTTGTGGGTTGTATTGATCTGTTTGTAGTCTCGGTTCTAGTTGTGTGCATGTACCACAGGTTTGTTTTCATTGAGTGCGTGCAGGGTTTCCTTTCTGATCAATATACAGAAAATTGGTTTAGTTTCATCTCAATTACAAATTTCCTCAGGTCAATGTGCATTATTGCAGTTATTAGTGAGCAGTTCTTAATGCTGGTATAAATCTTATGTCACATTTCTCTATATATCTCGCTTCTGCGGTGCTTGTGAGCTGTTAAACTCTGTCATTTTTATTGTTTTTTATGGCTTGTCGCTGTCTGGAAAGTTTGACAATAAACTATTCAAATATCTGTTGCTGTATGTAAATACCTGCTCCCTGCCATTGTGGTGTATTAGACAGACAGTGTGACCATCTGTTTTGATGTTAGTCTTTCCACCTGCGTGTGCCTGCCTGTCATATTTTCTTTAAAAACCCATGATGATGCAGACTACTTCCCTCTGTGCTTCCTGCAGAGCTTTGCTGCCTACCTGATTTCACAGCAGGTCACATAAAGTTACTCCTTGTCCTACTAATGATGGGGAATATTGGCCTCCTCATTCTTCAACCGAAAAGAAAATAGAAACTACAAGTCTTTGGGAAAAGAACATTAAACTATCAGCCAAAGAATAAATGCAGCAACATTTTTTGGACTGTGTCAGAGGTCGAATTCCTTCCCTTTCCCAGATGCATACTCAAATTCTACCGCCAACTCGCCCCGTTAGGTCGTCATATACGCGCTTGAGAGTTTTATGTGTGAGACAACAATGTCATTTTAGGAAACCGTTTCTCATGCATCCAGTATTAGATTTGCCTTTTACTGTACTTAATTAAAACTCCTAATTCACTCTGTGTACACTTGTATGCTGTCTTTACCTTATTCCTCTCATATTATTTTAGGATGAGTTTTTTGAGGTTTGGTCCAAAGCTGGAAATGGTGCACGTAGTGTCTGAACCCACACGCTTTGGAAAGCACAACTCAGTTTCACATTTTTATTGTGAAGTCACAGATCTTTTTGCCAAGAAATTATTGAAGTCCAGTCAAATATCTCAAAGCGTGTTCATACGCGCCATCCTGAACCCGAGCAATCAGCGCTAAGATCATAATATCATAGGTACATGGCTTCAAAGTTGGATCTCTCAATTACTTTTATTTGATCCTTTGACTGGAAAAGAGTTGAAGATGATGGTGGTGAAGTTGTTGCAAACTGAGACAAATACACTCTGAGTGCAGCTGTAGCTGGCTGAGGTGTTTGAGCTGTCAGTTTCTATGACAGTAAGTGGCAGTCCAGCTACAGGTGAGCCTCAAAATCTAACATTTTCTATGTGTAGACTTGGCTTTAAAGCCGCTGTTGAATACACGAAAGAAACTGAACATGTCATAGAGAAGCATGTGTGCGCTCTTAGTTATGGATACAGCAGCCATTATTATCTTTGCATAAATTACCTGTCTGTCACACATGCATGTTCAGAGACAAAGTCTGCCCCCCTCAGTCCGCTGTCACAGGACTATCCCTGGTGAGCTGGTACTGTCCAGTCCCTCCAGACCCTCTGTCAGCAAGCCCCTCATGCAGGGGTCCAGGCAGCGTGGCGACAGAGCCCTGAGGCTCTAGTGCACAA